GTCGACTGCCAGCCGGAACAGATCATAAAGTCAACGAGAACGGTTTGCATTCGCCGACACCGAAGTTGTCCCCTGCGCTACGGGAGGACAAACATCACAGCTTCCGCCTACCAAAACAAGCCTCCTGGAGGGGAGAAACGCGGCTGACGGTAGCCGGCACACTTGCGTACCAGCATTGGATAGGAAATGATGAGTATGAATGGCAATTAACACAACGGCGAATTCTACTAATCGGAGATGATAATTGGCTTCGCCTACACACTCGAGTGTGTATGCACTTTTGTGTGTGCGTGTGTGTGTGTGTTTGGCGAAATTGTCGAAAATCACACTTTACACTCCTCCTGCGAATGGCGCCTCTCGAGGATGCCACTTGTCTGGACCGGGCACTTCTGAGGCCGGCCAAGCATCACACCACTTTCACACCCCGTTCACAGGATGGCGACTTTTCGCGTCGTTCATCGCATGCCTAACTTGTGTATGACTCGCATTTTGGCGAGATGTTTCTACCGACAGATAATTGCTGTTAACACTTGCCGGTGGAGCACAAACGGATGCAATTATGCGGCAGAGCCGACGTTTGTCACGGGAATGGCTCAATTTTTACCGGCATTTCGGTCGGAGTCCACTCCTTCCAGCCGACGCCTAATTGCTTGGTCGCTTGTGCGCCACAAAAGTAGTCGAATTCCGGCATTCCACTCAGTCTGGACAGCCGTTTGGGGCCAATTCTGTGTGGCAAACCAGATTGTGATTCACTTTCCCAATGCTTTGGTGCAGTTTAGGCCGAAGAGCCAACTTCTTTCGACATCCTCCACGAAACTGTCCACGTTGAGTTTGGACCGTTGTCGTGCATTCATTGTGAAAGCTGGCGCTTGTCACATTCCCGCGGACCAGTTCTACCAGAAGCGGAGGGCTTGGCTTGCAGGAATGTTCCAGAACGTCATCTTTGCCAAGACGGACTGTTCTGTCAGAATGCCTTCAAGTAAAAAAGAAACTGATGGAGCTGTCTAGCAGACTGATTACATGCGATAATTGAGCAGATAGTTGGCTCAAAGTTGACGTCAAAATTGCATGTGTCCGTTCTGAACGCATCCTCCTCACCGGATCAACTGTCTACAATTGTGCATTGTAAGCATTCCATCAAATGTTGGAAATTCCCGCGAATTTCAATTCCCAACTCAGACATCAACTGCAATTGAGAGGTAATTTGTTGCCCTGCAAAACAATGTAAAAAGCGAAAGGTTTAATATATTTTTTGCCGTAAGCTGGGTCGACTCGTGCATGTGTTGGATAATGTAGCTTCAGATTGGAAAGGTCCAAGTCAAATAAGCAATTCTGGAAAATAGATTTTAAAATAAAAATCTAAAAAATTTCACTTTGTCAACTTTGACGCCCATCTTCGTGTATGTGTATGAGTGTATGTCTTGCGTGTGCTTCTATGCCCATGTATGTTTGTGTGAGCTTGTGGGAACAATTTGAAGAAATATTTGCAGAAATTGTGTAGATTTTGTCTTTTTTGACTGGCATCAAAAGGTAGATAAAATGTGACTTTCAAGCGGATTTTAGGGAAACTGGTCGAGTCAGAAGCTGACAGAAGCAGGTCATGGACAGTGTTTCGACGGCGCCTTCGAAGGGCTCTTCCAACAGCAGAACCTTCAAAGCCACTTTGAGAAGCAAATTAGTAAAGTTTGAAGACACAACTCGAAGCTGAAATCTCTTTTTGTATGAATATCTTCTACTATTATTGGAGTGCAAATAAGGAATGCGTTTGAGAGACACAGTCTCCGTGTTTGTACCGAAAATTGGCCCAATTCTCGACTCTTCCAAGTCCCCTTTCTCTACGCTTTAGCCATTCTCATTGGTCGGTTGAATTGGGCAAAAGTGTGTGTCTGAGTGAGTGTGTTTGTCGGTGCACGTGTTTGTGCATTTGTGAAGACAGAACAAATTGTGCACAGATGGGCCCTAAATTGCTTGCCTTTGCTCATTTCGGTACAAGAGCCGAAATTTCGCGGGACTCGAACGGATCAAATTCACAAAAGTTCCATTTTTGGGGTTGGCAATTGAGCGTCGTGAAGTTATGGCAAACCAGCACCGGTGGTGAGACTGCCATCAATAAGGGGTACCTATATTTTTCATTAGACTCAACTATACTACTTCACTCGGTGCCAGTAGGCTTCGAGGCCATCACTGCTTTTTGAATAAAATTCAGGACATAAAAGGGGCATAAGATGGTATTTGAGTTCTCATTTATGCCACAAGTGGACCCTTAAAATTGCATACACTTTTACATTCAAAACGACAGTCCAGCTTGGATGAGAAAGTCTTTTGTGAGGATAGTCCCATGGGCACTTCAAGCATCCGTTCGTGCATCGCCTTAAAGAATTTGGTCCGGCTCTAGTTGGTATTCGATGTCTACCGATATGTTCAACACCTACTCACACGATTGCAAATAGTATCATCGAAAGCGATGGAAAATGGAGCATTTTACCTTTGTAGGCGTATTGATATGTGCCAAGCATTATAAGATTCGCTTCTTTCCTTAAACGACCGAGGCTGCCTTGGATTCATAGTCAATCACTTAGAAGCATTATTCTGGGTGACCCTGGAATATGTATGTGGCAAAATCACATTATAACATTTTTCATAGTGACATTTGGCTATATTGAATGAAGAAAAAAACAATTTTATCGCAATAAAGCATAACATTTTGCGTTATTATTTGACCTGTACGCAGGAGCTGGCAAAATGTTGGTGCGTCAAGTGGCAACAAGATGTAAGATGCTTGTGCCGTTGTCAAGGCTTGCGAAGACGG